CAGTTTTTTATTACTTGCTCTTAGATAAGAGTGTACAAGTATTATAGGATCCAATCTCGTAGGTTCTTAACAGTGTTAACTTCAACAATAGTGAGTAGCAAAGTGCTATTTGTGTGAGGTACTACAGCAATTTTAGATTGCGCAAATTCTACTTATTTCGGTTCTGAGGTTACTTTTATGGTTGTGGTAAAGAAGATGCATCACTACGATGGTTGGAGCATTAGATGAGTCTCGAGCGTATGACATCTCTTAATTATTTTAGAGAGGCTTTCATTACCTAAAGACATAACACTAGGATCTAGTGTTTTGCTGCCCAGCATTTCACTTTGTCACAAATAAGAGGTGTAGACTAGTGGAGTATGATGTGCAAGACATCGTTGTTATCTTCATTTTTCATAAGAATATAGGAAATTTAATAAAATCCCATTAGAGATGCACTATTTAGCATTCCACGCTTTTGCAACTATTGCAACTCATGATCATGTGTCTTTTGATAGGTCTTTTGAAATTAAATCAAACTATATATGTAAAATGTTAAATAGTTCATCTCTCATCGGTATTTTGATAAATTTCCTTAAATTTTTTTGCATGCTGAAAATGAGAATACCATATATTATATGTGGCATTTACATGAAATTATTAACATCATCATCATCATCATTATTTTAGCCTTTTTCCAATTAATTGGGGTCGACTACATGAATCCAGGTTTTTCATTCTGCTCTATTAAAGGCCATATCCTGAATGAGGCCATATGTCCCCATATTGTTTTAGTTTCTTGGTTACCATTCGGTTTAGACTTTTTTTTTTAAATAAATAAGAAAATAAGACAAATCCAGTTACTTGTACATTTTCTGGATTTTTTATACAATATGTAACTATAATGATCCTAAAAACATACCAATTTTGGGACAAATATCAATCCTTCTTACCTTTAATATGTATTTGAAAACTGCATAAATGCAACATTTAATCTTTGGTTACAAACCTTTATTTCCTCCCCATTCAATCCGTTTTTCTTCTTTCTTTCTTTTTTTTGTTCTCCCATTCCCCCATTCCGGTTTCAGACAATTAGGTCATGTTCCCCTACTCTTCTTCATTGGCCCTCAAAGCTTAATAAAAACATACCTGTTTTGGGACAAATATCAATCCTTCTTACCTTTAATATGTATTCGAAAACCGCATAAATGCAACATTTAATCCCAAAGTATATGTATCAGCAGTACAATAAACCACTTGAAACATATCCCACAAATATAATCAATATTTATTGTTCATCTAGTTATTAAAATGAAAATCATGTTTGAGCGATCCTTGGGGTTTTTCCCAAAAATTAATCAACGAGTAAGAAGGATGACATGCAAAGGGAAAATGAGAAACTTATCCTAAAATTACTTTCTGAGTTGAGTACAATCCTCGGCCAGGATCTACTGCAAATCTATGGTGTTGGGTTACAGTTTTATTGACTTCAAGCTCTATGCTGCGTGCTTGAAAGGGGTTAAAACCTAGTGTCTAGGCCAAAGAGGATCACTGTGGGCCATGGCTGTGGTCCTCACTAAGTCATTCTCAAGAGCCTGTGGGTGCTCACACATTCAGGCCCAAAGCGGTAGCCACAGATGCCAAGGCCATCTAGGGCCCCTATCTATGGCTGTGGTACAAACGAAGGTCGTAATACAAGGCTATGGGTGCAAGCACAAACACATCTATACACCCACACTTGTGCATGTTTTTATGTTATTAAAAATATGTGCATGTATGTGTCCATTCTTATGGGTATATGTGTTTATATACAATTCTTTGATTTTATTTTATTTTACACTAAAACTTGGATTTTTCCAATTCAAGACTAACGTGTCTGCCCTTGGGATTGATAAAATCATGCCAAGAACATTATGAAATGAACACAATTAGGATGCTTGAGTTAAATTAAAGTAGAGAAGAAAACAATTTTCTAGGACCTAAAGAGAGAGAGAGAGAGGAAAGAAAATAAAAATGATGATGAAGAATCCAAGTTCGCCTTGTGAACCCCCTCCCCCACTTAACCTCTCAACAGCATAGCGGGTTTGTGGCTCAGGAGATCACAAAGCCCAGCCAGAAGGCTTCCTTTGCTTAGGTCACCTCAGCGACCAAATTGTTTCTCTCTCTAGAAGGGGGGGGATTCACAAACAATTTGCGTAGCAGGTTTAACCCATCTTCTCCATGCTCGCCTTGTGAAACCCCCACCAACCCCCCCCCCCCCCCCCCTCCCCCCCCCCCTCCCCCCACTTAACCTCCCAACAGCGTAGCAGGTTTGTGGCTCAGGAGATCGCAAAGCCCAGCCAGAAGGCTTCCTTTGCTCAGGTCACCTCAGCGACCAAACCTACTTTTGCCCCCCCTTCCAAACCCCTATTGCCCTCTCGGGACCTCCCTCGCTCCTCCTTCTCTCCTTATCTTTCCTTCTGCTTATCCTCATCTCCTGAGGAGATAAAGTCTACTCGCTCTAACTTGTCTGCAGCTTTAATAATGTCTTTTATTCCTCGTCGTGACGACTTCAGAGGAATCAAGAGTTGGGCAAGTAGATCTTTGAAGGAGTCGAATCTTTCCTGTAGACACCTTTCCAATGGTGATTACCTGTTCTCCTTTCTGTCCTCCGCTGGAGCTCTGCTTGCTTTACAGGAAGCATCCAACCTTTCTTTCAAAGGGGCCTGCACTTCTCTTCGGGCATGGTCGCCAATTGAAGGCTCCTTCTGCAAACAAGGGGTTTGACTCACCCTTAATCACATTCCCCTTCACGCGTGGACACCTGAGATTTTTTGGAGGATTGGGGAAGCTTGTGGTTCCTTGTTCTCCATTCACCGAATCTCCATGGAAACCTTACTGCTGGGATCCATTCGACTTCTCTTGGAAGTCCTAGATACGAGTCTCATCCCTCAATGGGTCTGGCTTGAAGTCGATAATCTGTACTACCGCATCTCTATTTCGTGGTCTTCAGCCTCCCTGCCCTCCCCAAAATTCTTTCAACATGCCGACCCTTTTTCCTCATCGGTTTCCAAACTGAAAAACCATGATCAGGCTTGGACCGTGGTGTCCAGGAAGAAACGACACCGGCAGCACCCCCGTAGACGACCCCCCGACCCGGCCCAAATCAAACCAGTCGGCCCTCAACTCTCTAGCAATAATCCTTCCTTCTGGCGTCCTCGAGTTCCTCGCTCCTCTTCTTTTCTAACCCTGGGTCCGTCGTGTGACTCGAGCCCCGATGATATCATTCGGACAGGGTCACCCTCAGCTACTACCTCACCTCTGTCCCGTCGACCCGGTAAAGAAGTCCTTGAGGACACCTCTCCACCTCCTCTACCTTCGGGCCTTGCTAACAAACCCGGGCCATCGCACTTCTTACCCTCGCTCCCCTCTCCCACCGACCTATGTCCCATCCCTCTCTCATCATTACCTCCCTGCCGCCCCTCGACTTCCCCGTCCACGTGTCACCTCGAGCCCCTTGTCGTACCCCACCCTTCATTCGACAAGCCCGATGGCCCTTGTCCCGTGTTGCTGTCGCCTCCTCCTTCATTCAGGCATGTTTCCCCTTCGTCGCCGTCGCCATCCTCTTCTCCTCTGCAGCAGGGACAACTGTCTCTG